GAGCACTGTGCTGGCCCTGCCACCACAGTGACAAAGGCCATGCCCTGGACACCACCTCCTTTTAGTCTGCCACAACCCCTCCCTGTGCAAAAGGAAGAGATATCCATCCAGGCCTGAACATTCTGTGTCTTTTGTGGGTTTCACTGCCTGCTGCTCATTCAGGTCCTGAGCAGAGCAAACATCACTCCATTTCTTTATCTTTTAGGTGTCATTCAGCAGGTTCAGGCAAGAACAAGCGGGTTATAAGGATGAAAAAGTGAGGACAGTGCACAGTGTGGGCACTTTGGAGTACTAAGCCCCATTTCTTTTCCTGGTAACAAAGCTGGGGATTAAATAATTAGAAGGTTTGGCATTAAAGAAGTTATTTGTGCTAAGGGAGCAACCAGCTTATGGGACAGCACGGTTCAGACCGTGAACACCAGTGGCACTGGGGAGAGTCCCTGCCCATGACAAACACAGCTCAGGGCCTGGCCTGCAGATTTAAAACATAAACCTCAACACTCTAAGCAGGAGAAGAAAAACATTATGGACACTCCCTGCCCTGTGGAGAGAAACCCCCTCCTCAGTGGCCCAGGCTGAGCTGACAGCTCCCGGCCCAGCCTCGCTCACCTTGCAGGGCCCACATGTTGTAGGATGCCAGATGGCTGATGAAGGTCTCCTTGGTGCTGGCTGGGATGTTGGGCCCCAGGATGCTGGTCGAGGAGCCAATTGTCACATTGTACCTGGAATGACCACCCAAGCCCTTGGAAAAGCCCAGAGCTTGTGGAGCTGTGGCTCTGGCAGCCACAAGCACCAGAGCTCCTGGGCTCAGCAGGGCAGGGCATAATCAGACAAAAACACCTTTGAGCTCTTACCTTTTCTCAGCCCAGTCAACCACTGGATCCCATTCGTTCTTTTGCAGCTCTGCCAAGGCTGGAGGCTCCTCCACACGATAGCTGGGACAAAACCACACTGGATGGTCATTCCCAGGCTGGAACACACCTCTGGGAAGGACACTGACCCCACCAGACCACAGCAAGAGCAGCAAGGGCCTGCTGTCCACCCAGGCAGCAGTGACTGGGAACAATCTCCTCACTCTTCCCTAAATTTGGAGCTTTTTATTGTTCCAGGAAGGACAATTCTATCTTACTACAAAACAGAGCAGTGAACTGGCCAAATGAAAATTGCAGGTAGCCCCAAGCCACAAGATGCAGTGAGGTTTAGCAGTTAGAGGAGGGGACAAATCCCACTGGAACTCTGTGTGGGGCCACTCATGCCTCTCCTTGCCCAGCAGCTCAGTTCAGCATTCCCTGCTCCCAGTCTGACCAAAGCCATGGGGGAGGCCCAGGGGCCTGTCTCCCTCTCCCTCCAGGAGCTGTGCAGCTGCCTGTGGAGTCTGAGACTGTGAGACAGGAGCTTGGGCATGAACAGGCTTGGTCCTGCAGCCCACAAGGACTTTAAGGAACGAAGGGCCTTTTCCTACTGGTACAAGTAGTCTGAGGTGTCTGTACTGGCACAGGAGTACGTAGGACTGGTCTAAACTGATTCAAACCCTTGGGCCCAAACCAGCACAGATCAGAGCCCTGCCATGACCAGGTTTCAGCAGACATTTGCCCTCACTTTCCCCAACCACCTTCCCAAAATCCAGCTGGGCCTCCACCTCATACCAGAGAGTGTCTGTCTCCAGGAACTTCACAGCCGCTCGGATCAGCTGCGTTTTGTTTCGCTGCGTGGGATTGTCCAGCGCCGTGTTGCACAGAGTGGTCTGGGGATAAAGGCAGTTTAAACTGCGGTTATTCAAGGCTTGGAGAGGCAGCAGCTTCCATGGTACAATGTCAAGAACAAGCAGAGGAATTCATGGCACATGGAGAACCGAGGGGTGCAGCTAAAAGGGGGTGCAGGGCCAGAACGTGGCTCGTGTAATAGGAATCTTCTCAGAATCTTTCAGAACCTTGGTAGTAGCCCATTAAGCAGCAGGGAAGAGGGCTCATGGACTGCTCCAGAGCTCATCATTTCCTCCTGCCCCTCACTATTCCCAATAACACTGTCCAGCCCCTTCTCAAGACCCCACAGTGGCAGAGATTTCTCCTAGACAAGCACCCAGCCATGATCTAATCACTCTCACAACTGCAGGGGGTCCAGAGAAAGTCCTGACCTCTTGTCCCTGTTTCTATGGGCATCAGGACAGAACCACAGAATCTCTTAAGTTGGAAAAGACCTCTAACATCATCAAATCCAACCTTTGACCAATCACCACCTTGTCAACTACACCAGAGCACTGAATGCCACATCCAGTCATTAGAAGCAGGACAACCTGCTCCCTCCACATCCTGCATCTGGAGACCGTTTGGAGGTCTCAGCATCCCACCCTGCTGTGCTCACCAGGTGCATTGTGTAGAACTTGATGGTGTCTTTCTGGGAATCCCACTCCGTTGCCACTGCAATGGCCAAGGCCTCGCTGGGGACAGTGAAGAGCTTGGCCTGGGGCGTTTTCAGCTTTCGGTGGTCCAGGTTTATTTCAAAGCCTCCTGGGGAATCAGAGTAGAAATCCTGGGGAATCAAAGAGGAGCAGGCACTAAGGAACAACAGACAACCCCACAGCAGGAGCAGAGTCAGAGCTGGAGCTGAGGGAATGAGGGACCAGGAATACTCAAGTTTCCCACCACCACTTGGAAGCTGTTTCCCACCACGCAGCTTTGCCATAGATGAGGAAGGGGCAGAGCAGCTGGTGACAAACACCCCCCTCACACAGCCTGGGCTGTGAGAGCCACGCTGACGTGGTGTGGGGTGGTGACACCCCTCCCAGGGACCATCCCGTGGCCCTACTCACCTTCTCCTTGCGAGATGCTCACGTTCTGGTAGAACCTCTTCCTCTCTGGGGACAGAAAGAGAGTCACTCAGGTGGCACTTAAAGGAGATTCAGCCCCTTCCCTTGCTCCCCATCACAGCCAGAATAGACAGAGCCCCCAGTGTTGTCAAGGTGGCCTGGCCACAAAAATCCAGCCCTTCATCCACAGCTTCCCATCACTACACTCCAGTGAGCTCCACTCGGCTGGGAAGCACCGGAATCTGGTGACAACCAGAGTGCACAGCTGGGAAGTGAATGGAACCAGCTGCACTCCTGCCAGGCTGGGGGCTCAGCTCCCTCTGCACTGTCCTCCAGTGAGTTCCAGAGCGTAGCAGGGGTGGTTTCCAAAGCAGACCTGTCCCAGCACTCCCAGTTTCACTTCGGGGTCAACCTTTCCAGATTCTCCCCCTACAATCACGTTTGACAAATTAATCCATCAACTGCCTCATCCAGCTCTCTCCCTCCCTGCTTCACGGAATCACAGAATATGCCCAGCTGGAAGGGATCCACAGGGATCACAGAGTCCAACCCTCAGCTCTGCACAGGACCATCCCCAAGAGTCCCACCCTGTGCCCCAGAGGATCATCCAAATGCTCCTTGAGCTCTGGCAGCCTTAGGGCTGTGCCCACTGCCCTGGGGAGCCTGGTCAGTGCCAACCACCCTCTGGGGGAAGAACCTTTTTCTAATATCTAACCTAAACCTGCCTTGACACAACTCCGGGCCATTCCTTGGGGTCCTGTCCCAGTGCCTACCCCTCCTCTTCCTCTCCTGAGGAATTTGTAACTGCCATGAAGTCTCCCCTCAGTCTTCTCTTCTTCAGGTTACTCAGCTCAGGAATACACCTGCTCCACGCAAGGTGAGCCTGAGGGAACTGCAGGTCTCATTTTAGGAGCAGCCTCCTTCCCTACCAGCACTGCTGCCCACACCCCCAACACCTGAGACCAGGACTATACGTATTCCAAAGGCTCACATCGCTCCCACAAAGCAGGAAGAATCCACAACCCATTCCCTTGACAACAGCAACCAGGTTGTTAATCCCAAACCCATAAATCTGCCTTGTGAAGGGCACAGCAAGCAGGTCAGGCTGCAGGTCTGTTATTCCAGGCTAAAAAAAGCACATTCCCGCTGGGGAAATGGAAGGATTTGCTCAGGCTCAGCGACCTGTGAGTTTTGGGGCCTCAGAAAGTGCCACAGGCACAGCTCTAAAAACAGACTGATGTATGTGTGTCCCCCAGAGGAGCCCTGAGGCACATCAGTGGGCTCCCAAAACCCTGCCGTGAGTCACCGCGATTCTGCAGCCTCACCTCGGACAGAACGAGACTAATCTTACTGCCCTCAAACCCACACGATTCCAGCAAAATCTGCGGAGGGGGATACACGGCCCAGAACACGCCTGAACAGCCCCCCCTCCGCGGCTGGGTCCAATCCCCCCAAAATCCCTAGAAAACAACAAAACACAAAACCACGAGTGAGACGCTGGTGCACTGAGGACTCGCCCGTGCTGCCAGCGAACCCCCAGGCTCTGAACACCCCCTAAAGCCCGGAGAAGGGCGCGGGGGGAGCCCCGGCACGGGGCCGCTCTCCGCCCGTGGGGAGCCCGCTCCACGCGGGGCCGTTCTCCTCCCGCCCTCAGCGCTCCGATCCCAGCCCTGCCCTGGCCCGGGGTGACCTGGGGACCCAAGAGGACCCCTGGGCAGCTCCTCCCTTTCCCAAGGGCGGCTGGAGTCTCCCCGGCGCTCCCTCACCTCCCGGCGGGGCATAGGCCCGGCGCCCGCATGGCCCCGCCGGGCCGCTCCTGGCAGCGGCAGAAGGCAACCGGGGAAACCAGATGGGCAGGGAGCGATCCCACAGCAGCCGGCGACACCCGCGCCACATCGCGACAACCGGACACACCACCCGCCCCCCCGACCGCGCTCAGCACCGCTCCCTGGGCGCCGCCATCTTGCCGGCGGCCCCAACCAATCCCCGCCGCGAACTACATTTCCCACCAGCGCCCCGCGGCCTCGCGACCAATCGGCGCCGCCGCGGCACCACCCTCAACCAATCGCCGCCGCGGCGGCGCCGCCCGCGACCAATCGGCGCGCGGCGCGCGGGGGCCAATGGGAGCGCGCGGAGGCGCTGCCGGGAGGCCCCGACCCAGCGGCGGCCTCGGCGTGAGGGAGAGCGGAGCGGAGCCGAGCGGGCGGTGCTCCCCCCTCCCCGCCCCGGGCCGCGCCCCGGCCCCGGCCACGCTGGCGCCCGGGGACCCCCCCGAGATGCCTGTCCGGAGCGAGAGGCGTCGCGCCGGAGGGGCTGGAGGCGGCTCGTCGTCGTCGTCGTCGTCCTCCTCGTCCTCCTCCTCCTCCTCGCCCGCCACCGGCGGGGGAGCGGCCGCCAGCAGCCTGGTGCCGCCGCCCCCCATCAACACGGCGCAGCCCGGGGTGGCCACCTCGCTGCTGTACAGCGGCGCCAAGTTCCGCGGGCAGCAGCGCAGCAAAGGCAACGCTTATGAGGTGGAGGTCGTCATGCAGGTGAGAGGGAATGGCGTGGCGTGGCGAGACGAGCCCTTGGCGGGGCGGGAACGGCCACCGCGGGCC